CTGCTTTGATAGTATATGTTGATGGTATAATTATCACTGGCGACTGGAAGGATGAAATCCAAAAGTAGAATAGTTTTCTTGCCACATAGTTCGAAGTAAGGGATCTAGGTCCTCTAAGATACTTCCTAGGAATTGAAGTTGCCCGCTCAAAAGGGGTATCTTCATTTCCCAAAGGAAGTATGCCCTAGATTTACTCCAGGATACAGGAAAAATGGGAGTGAAGCCAGTTGATTCCCCTATTGATCCTAACCATAAATTAGGTGACAGCCAGGGTGAACCTATCAAGGATGTGAAACAGTTTCAGAGACTTATAGGGAGATTGTTATATCTTTCTATGACCCGCCCAGACATTGCTTATGCAGTTGGTGTCCTTAGTCAGTTCATGCATGCCCCTATGACCACTCACCTTGAAGTAGCAGAAAGAATCCTCCGATACCTTGAAAGGTTTCTAGGTGCTGGCTTGTTGTTTCAAAGGCACGGACATTTGAAAGTTGAAGTGTATTCTGGTGCAGATTGGGCAGGATCCCTAAATGACAGAAATTCAACTAGTGGCTAATGTATCTTCATAGGAGGAAATCTAGTTACTTGGAGAAGCAAAAAGCAAAGTGTGGTAGCTAGATCCAGTGTTGAAGCTGAATATCAAGCAATGGCTCATGGAGTGGCTGGAATTATGTGGATAAAGAATCTGTTGAGTGAGTTGGGTTTTCCAGTGGACTGACCAATGATCCTATTCTATGATAACAAAGCATAAACATTGCTGCTAACCCTGTGCTATATGATAGAACTAAACACATCGAAGTCGACAAGCATTTTATCAGAGAGAAGGTTATCACAGAGGAAGTGTGTACTCCCTATGTCAACTTTGAGGATCAGCTTGCAAACATCTTTACAAAAGGACTATACCACTCATGACATCATGATTAATGTGACAAGTTGGGCATGATTGACATCTATGTCCCAACTTGAGGGGGAGTGTTAACAACTGATATTTTTCTTATGTATAGTACTGCAGGGGTACTATTGTACTTTTACTCTTTTTTATTTTAGTTGTTGTTGCCCTAGTATATATATTAAAAAAGTTGTTCCGCCAGCAGTATCTTTTGCTCTCAGTTCTCTCTTCTTCTCTCTCTCTTTTCTCTCTTCTTCCATTCTTCTCTCTTGCATAACAGTGGTGTAAGTGGATTCATGGCTGTGCTAGCTCTAGTCACTTCTCTATTTTGGTTAATGAAGTGGTAAAGGATTTCTTCCTAGCTTGTAGGGGTGTAAGGCAAGGGGATCCTGTTTCACCCTTCCTATTCACCTTATTAGCTGATGTGCTCAGTAGAATGATCTCATAGCTTGATAGGGTGAATTTAATAAATGGGTGGAAAATAGGCAGGGTTGGAGTCAGTTACCCATATCTAGTTTGCAAATGCTCTATTAATTTTTTGTGAATGGGGAGATCTTGAGAAGGTGAGTAGTCTAAAGACGTTTGTGAAAAGATTTTAAAGGACCTCCAATCTGAGAGTCAACCTTGAAAAGAGTAGTGTGGTAGGTGTAAATTTGGGAGCTAGAGTAATGGAAGCTATTGTGGGATGCATAGAGTGTTCTATCTCTGCTTGGCCCATGACCTTTCCATTAGGGGTAAACCTTAGGGAGAGTAGTTTTTGGTGTTCGGTTCTTCAGCTGTAGAGAAGTTTGAAAGAGATTGGCTTCGTGGAAGAGGAATTATGTATCTTTGGGGGGGGGGGGTAGAATCACTATGATTAAAGCCACCCTTGCTAACCTACCAATCTATTTTCTTTCTGTCTTTAGGGTCCCATCTAGAGAAGCCAAGAAACTGGAGAAGTTGACGAGGGACTTCCTTTGGGAGCTTCGGGAAAGTAGGAAGGATCATCTGTTAAAGTGGGAGGTGGTGTGTAGAAGTAAAGAGGAGGGAGGTTTGGGAATATGGAATATAATGCAAAAGAATATGACACTATTGGGGAAGTGGTTGTGGAGGTGGTACTAGAGAGAGATTGTGGCATGAGGTGGTAGGAAGTATTCATGGTCACTTAGAGAACGGATGGGATGTTGGGATATCTTCTCCAACCCAAGTATCTTTTCTATTCTGTGTCTCAATAGATTTTCCCTTTTAAGGAGGTTTGGTGCAGGCCTGCTCCCCCTAAGGTTTTAGCATTCTGTTGGAAAGTGTTTTATGGGAAAGTAAACACCTTGGATAATCTATGTAAAGAAGACCTTATCTTTGGCTCTCACCTAATTGGTGGGCTCTTTACAGGGCTCATAGTGAGGACTGTTACCATTTACTAATTTCCTGTTCTGTTACTACAAAGTTGTGGGATAGGCTCTTCTTGATTTTTGGGTGCAGGTGGAATAGGCCAGCAGAAGTAAGTGTGCTTTTTGATCCATCTACCTTTGCTTGGTGTGCAAGAGCAACATTGCTATGGACAGTGGGAAGAAAGGACTGCCAGGATATTCCAAGAGAAGGAGAAAAGCCAGCAAGAACTGAAGGAGTGTATCTTGTATAAGGCCACCTTGTGGCTGAAATCTTTGGACTTTTTTTATCAATAACAAAAATTCATTGAATTCAATTAAGAAAGGATTACAAACAAGGGGAGGCAAGCTGTCTTAACTCCCCCACAAGCACAAAAAATACAGAATTAGAAGTAGGCCCAAAACATAGAATCCCTATTCACCCCTTGCTTAGCTAGTCCATCAGCAAAAGAATTTGCAGTTCATTTAACCCAACTGTATTTTACTTCAACCAATTGAATTTTTTCCTCTCATTGCTGTATTTCCACAATCCAGGCTTATCTTCCTTTAACCAGTTTACCACCACCTCCGAATCTCCTTCAATAATCAGCCTCTTATTGTCCAGGTCTCTTGCTCTTTGGAGCCCTTCCAGGGCTGCTGAAATCTCAGCCCTAAGAGAGTCACCCTCTCCAATTGGGCCAGAGAAAAGGGCTATAGCATTCCCTTCCTCATTTCTAAAAATCCTCCCAATACTTGATTGCCCTGGATTCACAATGCTACTGCCATCAAAGTTCAACTTTATATAACCGGCAGGGGGGGTGGTCCAAGAAGGACTTATGATCCTACTTAACCTGGGCTGAGTTTGTTGTTTCTTTCCAATTTCTCAACAGGACATCCACAGGGAAGTTTGTAAACAGATCCATGGATTTCAACCAATGTACAACTCTTGAGTGGATCAACTCTATCAAGTTCTCAGCATCCTTCTCCCTTTCCGAAAAAGTCCTGGAGTTTCTTTCTTCCCACAAAGACCAACAGACAGCAGCCCTACCCTAACACTCCTCCACATGATCCTACCCCTTTTCACTGGCCATCTGAAAAAGGACGGATAAAACAGACTTTGTACATCTGGTGGGGGGTTCCAGCTACACCCAAAAAGGGATAAAGCCCAAACCCAAACAGCTCTGGCATAGTGGCAAGACACTAATAGGTGGTACCCAGTCTCTCCATAAGCTTTGCAAAGAACACACCTATGTGGGGATAGGCAAGACTTGGGTCATTTTCTTTGAAGTAGATCGCATGTGTTGATTCTTTCCAGAAAAGCTAAACTTCCAACCCGAGGAGGAATAGGTTTGCACAAGATCTCTTCAACAGGCAAGGAAAGGCATCCCTTGGGAGCAGGTTGCTGAGTTAGGGATTGAAAGAAAGAGGCGCAAGAGAAATAACCCGAGGGCAAGGTTCAAAATATCGATACAGCCCGATAGGCCAGTAGGGGCATATCAGACTGTATCGGCCACCACTCCTCTCTTTCTTTTTTCTTTGTGAACCTGGTTTAGAGGGGTTGGTCTAAAGCCCTTCTACCCCCTGAACCGGGTTAAACCTTGAAAAAACCCCTGTAGGGGCATATCAGGAGGCTCCCGATACAATACGTATTGGACGTATCAGCCAATATGTATTGAAATTTCAAACCATGTCTGAGGGGGAAGGGGTCCAGATTCTACAATCTTCTTTTAGATGGTCTAAAAACATACTAAGAGGGACAATGTATTTCCTAGGTCAGTATCCCTAACAGCCCTTCTCAGACTCAAATTCCACCCAAACCCAGAGATTGCATCTGAAGGGACAAGAAAGGAAGAAATGGGTTCATTCTTTCGGTCAGAGAGGGCATACAAAGAGGGGAATTGGCTCATATTTAGCTCTCTTATACTCAGGTCCTTTAGGTGTGGGGGACTCCACTAGGGCGGAATTACTAGCTGCCCTCCAAGGGGTACAGTTTGCAGTACATCTAGGAGTGGAACGGCTAGTAATAGAAAGTGACTCCAAGGTGGTTGTGGGGTGGATACAGAACCTAGAGACTGTGGTTTGGTGCTTTAAGAATGAACTTAAAAAATTAAAGTGACTGACAAGAAATCTGTGTATCAGATTACAGTGGCTGGGGAGATCAGCTAATGCTATGGCTGATAGTTTAGCAAACTAAGGGGCAAACAGGGAATAGTTGTATTGGGCACAGTTGTAATCTGTTTTAGTTTTTGATTGCTTGGAGAGGTTGCAGCTTGTGCCTTTCCATGGGTCTCTTATTTCTGTTATTCTCCTTTCTCTAATAAAATTTTTCTCATTTATTTAAAAAAAAAACAATGCACCTAACATGGTTAAATCTCTGCTTTTCCTTTCCTCAGCTTTGCTAGTTTATAAATTCCTTTTTCTCCCACTTTAGCACCATGTCTCCTTTGATATTTCCATTTCTGCAGATATTTAATTTTCTCATTTAGAGAAATTCATGTACTACTATAATTTACTGGGTTTAAATTTTGATAAATGTCATGTTTTACTCTAGAAAGCCATATCATAGGAAATAATTTTTTAGAAATGTGGCAGTATCTTGTAAGAGGTCATAAAAAATTATACAATGAATTTGAATCTTCAGATCTGGGAATAGGGAATGAATTGCATCCATTAAGTTATTTGTTGTTGAGTTTGGCATGTAGTCCAGGGTAGCTTGGTAAAGATTTATTTATAATTCTTTATTTTTTTTACACTTTTTTTGTTTTCAGATTATGGAGCCACCATGGAAAGCATATAATGTCTTGAGAAAGATGGACTATCCATATGAGGCTAGTATCAAAACTCTATCTCCTTTACATTTGCATGTTGTTGGATTCTTATGCTGTCCCTTTAAAAGTTTAGGTGCTCTGATCCTTTTTATTTTATATGCTTAGTGGTTCTTTTTTTGGCTGTTATGGCATGTCCCATGTGTCTTGCTATAATATCATGCTGCATGATCTAAAGCAATGAAAGCATTATTCTCTAGAGACTGCCAATTCCCAGTGTTATTTGTCTAGTCGGTTGGAAGAAAAAGTAATACAGAAACATTTCGTAACAACAATGTTAAGTAGGTTCATTAGTTCTATTATTTATGATGCATATTTTACTATTCATAATGTTTTTTTTTTTTGATAAATGAGTGAAATTTTATTAAACCAGCAAATAAGAGTAACATGCAACCCGTGGAAAGGCACGAGATGTGACCTTTCCTTTAAAGCTAATTACAGAATTATAAGTACAAAAGAAATTACACTGAAGCCCAAAATAAAGTATCCCGGGAAACCCCTTGTTTTGCAAGTGAATCAGCCAATGAGTTTGCTGATCTGCCTACCCACTGAACTCTGATTGTCATATTCCTCGTTAACCATTTAACCTTTTTGAGAAGATTTCTAAAACCCCAAATCAAAGTGTTTGGATCCTTCAGCCAACCCACTATCACCAGGGAATCCCCTTCAATAGTCAGATGCTCTATGCCTAGCTGATTTGCAAGCTGGATTCCTTGTACAGCAGCCAGTAATTCAGCCCTTAAAGAGTCTCCCACACCTGCAGGACCTGAGTACAAAGATATCACGTTACTATCTTTGTTTCTCAGCACTCCTCCTATGCCTGAAGGTCCTGGATTTCCTCGGCTACTTCCATCAAAGTTCAGCTTGATAAACTCCTCCCCTGGTGGCATCCATTCAACCCCATGTCTGTCCTTCCTRGTAGAAGTATTAGCCACTGCTAACCAACTTCTCCATAGGTCATCAAAAGAGTATGCATCAAAGATCTTTAGAGTTTTCAGCCACTGAATTGCCCTTGTCAAAATACATTCTTTAACTTCCGAGAAGCTCCTTTCTTTTTCACAAAAGATTCTGGTGCTCCTTTCTTTCCAAACTGTCCACAACAAAGCTACTCTTATGCACTTCCACATAATTCTCCCTCTCTTTGTATGCCATTCAAAAATAGACGGACTAAACAACAAACTAGTATTAGATGGCAAGTTCCACCTACACTCAAACAACGTCAGAATCCAATTCCATAAAGCTGTAGCAAAGGAGCAAGAGATCAGTAAGTGGTGACAGTCCTCATTCTAAGATTTACAAAGAACACACCAATTAGGGGATAAGCACCAATTTAGTCTTCTTTTTTGTAGGTTTTCAAAGGTGTTAATCTTACCATAATAAACTTCCCAACAAAAAACAACAAATTTTGGGGGAATGGGCCTAGTCCAAAATTCTTTAGCTGGGAAATTCTGAGGTGCAGAAGTGGAACAAAGGGACTTGAAGAAAGAGGAGCAAGTGAACAAACCATTCGGGTTAGGGGTCCAATTTCTTGTGTCAGGTTTGAGGGGATCTAAACAAATAGACTCAAGTGAAGACAATAAATCTGAAACACAAGCACTTTCATCATCACGTAACCCTCTACGGAAACCAAAATCCTAGTTTAGGGCCAAAGAAGAATCTGAGTAGGAAATAAAACTGGAAACCGACTCTTCCTTATAAGGGGAAAGAGAGTAAAGAGAGGGAAAAAGGTCTTTAAGAGGTTGGTTGCCCACCCAAATGTCTTCCCAAAAAAGAACATTGTGTCCAGAATTAACATCATACCTGACCAGATTGAGAAAATGGGGTAGAATTCCGTGAATGGCCTTCCAGGGTGTTGCAAGAGTCGCCTGTCGAGATACCCCGACATCCCAACCGTTCTGCAAACAGCCATGAATACTATTCACCACCTTGTGCCACAACCTCTCTCTCTCTCTCTGACGGCCATCCCCAAAGCCACTTCCCTAGTAAAGCTTCATTCTTAAGAACTAGATTTCCCAATCCTAATCCCCCTTCTTCCTTACTCCTGCTAACTATCTCCCACCTAATCAAGTGATCCTTCTTCTCTTCCTCTGGCTCCCACAAGAAATCTCTCATCACCTTTTCTAGCTTCTTGGCTTCCCTTGAGGGTATCTTGAATACAGAAAGAAAATAAACCGGAAGATTAGCGAGTGTCGCCCTAATCAAGGTCACTCTACCCCATATCAAAATGTAACTTTTTTTCTAAGCAGCCAGCCTCTTTTCTAACTTTTCCACAATTGGATACCAGAACCGACTTTCTTTTGGGTTAGCTCCTAACGGAAAGCCCAAATAGGTTAAAGGCCAATCAGATATGGAACACTCTAGAGAACCTGCTATAGCCTCTACCTCCCAATCTTCCAAATTGATTCCCACCTCACAACTTTTGTCAAAGTTAATCGATAGGTTTGAAGCAGACTCAAAGAATTTAATAAGATCTTTTAGGTTCGTCACTCTCCCTAAGTCTCCCCCTTCACAAAAGATGATGATATCATCAACAAACTGAAGATGAGTCACTATGACATTATTCCTACCTATCCTCCAACCTCTTATTAGCCCTTCCCTATCTGCTTTAGAAATCATTCTACTGAGCACATTTGCCACAAGTGTGAACAAAAAGGGGGAAAGAGGATCTCCTTGCCTGAGCCCTCTATGTGCTGGGAAGAAGTCCTTGACCCCTCCATTAACTAGAACTAAAAATTGGCAAGATGTTATTGCATCCGCTCACCCACCTACACCATCTATCCCCAAATCCACATTTCCTTAGCACTTCTAATAGAAAATCCCAATCCACTTGAGTCATAGGCCTTCTCAATGTCCAGCTTACAAATAAAACCTTGATTGTCGGATTTCCTCAACACATTCATTTGCTATAAGGATCTGATCTATAATTTGCCTATCTTGGATAAAAGCACCTTGGGTTTGAGTAATGAGAGATGGAAGGACCTTTTTAATCCTTAAAGAAAGCACTTTTGCCACAATCTTATAGATGCTGGTCACCAAACTAATCGGCCTGAAATCTTTACAGTGTTTGGCATCTGATCTCTTTGGGATGAGAGCTAAGAACGTGGCATTAACTCCGCAACTAATCACATGGTTGTTTTCAAACTCCCTAAACACCTCAAACAAATCTTCTTTAATAATGTCCCAACTACTTGATAGAAAGCCATGGTAAAACCATCTGGTCCAGGAGCCTTTGACCTGTCCATAGAGAAAACAACTTTTCTTATCTCTTCCTCTTCAAAGTCTCTTTCCAACTAAGTTGCCTCATCAACTGATAGACCTGGCCAATCTAGATCTTCCACTCTCACCGGTCTCTCCAACGGCCTACTCAAAATGGATTTAAAGTGAGTTACAAAGCAATTGGCTATCTCCTCTTGTGACTTAATTTCTACTCCTTCAACCTCAATCTTGGTCACAAATTTTTTTCTCCTCCCATTGGCCATAGCATGAAAGAACTTGGTAATCCCATCCCTTTCTTTGATCCATTGATGGCTAGATTTTTGCCTCCAAGATATCTCTTCCCTCAATAGAACCTCTTCCAAATCCTTCTTCAACTTCCATCTCAGTTCTCTTTCTTGTGCACTCATGGTCCTTTGATGTTCCTTTAAATCTAAATCCTTGATTTGGGATGTCAATTTGGCTTTTAACTCTTCCAATCTCCCAAATTCCTCTCTGTTCCAATCTCTTATTTTGGATCTCAGACTTTTTAATTTCTTGTGGAATCTAACCCCTTTCCACTTAACTCCCCTAATCTCTTCTCTCCACCACTCCTTCACTTTATGCACAAAGTCCGGGTGTGTCAACCACATGTTCTCGAACCTAAAGGGTTTAGGTCCAATCCCAAAAGTCTCTTGGCCTTACTCTATAGGGCAATGATCTGAGGTAACTCTAGGCCAAGCTCTAGCCACCAAACCCCTCCAGTGTGCTTCCCAACTTTCATTGAAGAGGAATCTATCCGGTTTTGAACAAGATGGATTCTCCTGGAAGTGGGACCAAGTGAAGCTAGCATGTAGCATAGGGAACTCCTTCAAAGTATATCTGTTGATAAATTCATTGAATCTCCTCATGCTAGTTGTTATAGGTTGTTGGGGATTATTTGACTCATTAAGAAACCTTATTACATTGAAATCTCCACCCAAGCACCAAGGGCCTTCCCAAAGTCCTTGAATTCCATAGAGTTCTTCCCATAGTTCATTCCGCTCTCTGTAATTATTCAGCCCATACACATTGGTTAAT